ATTTAATGTCAGACACAGTCCATACAGCCAGAATAATAATAATTAATGAAGAAAATAACTAATAACAAAGCAATAAAATTTAAATTAAGGAATACAATAAAATATAAAAGTCACACTATTAATAAAACATAAAACTCAACAATGTCAAAATTAACAATAATTATAATCAAAACCATTGGAGAATCAGACACGATACCCGCCACGCGTGATTGGACCGTACAGAGATCGAGAGATTATCGACGTCTACAGCCCCAACACGATATCCATCCATCTCCGCTGTATTGGGCAATCCGCACGTGAAGCAATCATCTTCAGGATGCCGTTGCTACTGCCCCTCACACGCATGAAAATAGAAGCGACTTTCTTCCGCATAATTGCATGAAAGCCATCAGTGCGCGCCTCCGCAAACATAGCAGAAGCACTGCAGTACCGAGGCAGCCGCAACAGCATCCTGAACACATTGTTGTACTGAACTCTAATGACATCCGCGGCCCGCCGAGTATGACTCACCCATAAGCTACTTGCGTAAAAAGATTGGCAGTATGCCTTAAACAGAAGTATTTTTACTTCCACCGAGCAACGCGCAAATCTCCGAACGATCATATTACCCCGCACCGCCAATGCCCTTCGTTCTCTTTCCAAATCAGCATCATCCGTCAAATCTTCAGTGAGAATATGTCCTAGGTACCTGAAGCTAGCCACCATCCCTAGAGCCACCCCGTTCAACATAATTGGCGGAACATGAAATGGAGCGTTTTTTTTACTTTTAAATATCATAATTTCGCTCTTTTTTGTATTATATTTCAGTCCATGCTCCACTGCATATGTCTCGCAGATAGCCACCAACTTCCTAATCGCTCCCACCGACGGCCCCAGCAACACCATATCGTCCGCGTAACTTAAATTACTGACACATACGTCATCAATATGACACCCTGTATGTGTATCACTGAGTTCGCCGATCAAGTCGTTTATGTACAGGTTAAACAGCAGAGGAGAGGTGAGTCCTCCCTGTCTCACACCACACTCCATGCCATAAGCTTCCGACAAGACTTCTCCCCACCTCACCTGATTTTTCTGACAACCATACCAGCCCTTCAGCAACGCTGTAACTTCCACCGGCACACCCGCACTCGCCAGTTTGCCCCACAATTTGTCATATCTAACACAGTCAAAAGCTTAAGCTATTATAACATAATATTCTAATTGGGGTGTTTAAGAGTGTGCGTTAATTACGTTATATGTTGTATATGTATGTTTGTGCGAGGTTGCCTCGCGATTGGCTGAAAGGATTTTGGTATGGTTTTGAGAAACGTGTTTGACACACTTAGGAAAAGGTTTTAGTATATTAATTAACCGATTTAAAAAAAATAAGGGATTTGAAGTTAGTGTTTCTAAATGTATCTACTTTATAAAAGAATTGTACAATAGACATGAAACGACTTTACTTAGTTTGATAACCTCAAACTGTCATTTGCATATGTGTTATTACTTTATTTTTAAACTTTATTCATAATTCAAAAATGCTAATTACAAAAATATATCGTAAATACGTACAATTGTCCTCACAGTGTTTAATGCCTGCACTAGGACAATCCTGTATCGCAGGCGAATCCTTTATTTTATTATTTTTATATATTTTATTAGAAAGTTTATCCAATATGTTAACCACATAATTTTAACCATATAATGTACCCTATAAATCATACAAATATGTAATAACAAACATCGTATCGAAATGAATAACACATCGTAGACTTTAGGGAAAACCAACACCCGAGCTTAATTAATAAATCGAAGAAACTAAACCGAATGAGCATAACTATTGCTATATTTGTTTGATATATTTTAGCTAATAAACACCATTGATCATCATCAACACTTAATATTAAACACATTAAGGAATAAAACTACTAAACTGAGGGAGGTTGAGGCAGTAAATATTTTTGCCGGTTCCCTCTGGTGCGAGGGAAACCGCAGGCAAAAGTTAGTAAGTTATAAATCATAAGTGCGGACCTTACTCTGGTACAATTTATGTGTAAGGCCCATTGGGTGGCTTAGTACCGTTTGATTGATACTGTGAAGAAGACCTTAGTTGCCGCGTTGGCATCCGTCACATAATGAGCCTCTCATTCGACACGTACGGACGTACGCACCGCACGTAGTATGTGATATAAGGAACAATACCCAATTAAATAAAGGTACTCTAGTTGTTTGGTGTGAGGAGTGAGGGAACTGATCGATAAATGTGCATCATAAGAAAAGAGGAAAAGAATTAGGTTTTAGGTTGGTACACCATCATTTTGTAATTGACACAACACTGTGTAGCTAGTTCTGAGTACTACAAGTCAACAGATTTGAGGCTGAAGTCTGAAGTAGATGCCAATTTAAAAAATCTCATAAGCTATAAGATATCATATCACAACTTGACTTTCATGGATTCTCTTATTACCACGTAAACAATGACGTCACTCCAATAGACTAGGTAACTTAATACGTCGTAGATAGAAAACATTTTATTTACCAGACACAATATTAAACAATGGACGGATGATATTGCTAGACCAGTGACACGAAACTCTTAAAGTGATTTCTGATTCTACGTATTAGAAGAGTATATTAACAAAAATAAGTAATAATATGTACTTAAGTTTCTTTTTCCAGTCTGTTTGTTTCGAATGCTATTGTATATTTCACTTACCTATTGCACTGCAGCACAGTCATCATGATCATTAATAGCTTATCAGTGCTCACTGCTGAGCAAAGCCTCTTCTCACACGGAGAAGGTTTAACCACTAAGCATTACGCTTCCTCAATGCGGGTTGGCGATTTCAAACTTATAATCAGAAATAATAAGGTCAGGTTTCCTGACAATGTTTTCCTTCACTGTTTGTCAGTGGTGTCTGAATAATCTTGGAATATATATAATAACTCTTAAGTGTGGGAGAGCCATGCTTTGGCACGAATGGACTAGCTCGACCGGAATGATAATACGGCCACAGAAGACCGACGTGAAACACCGATTGCCTTGTCTTTCGTCATGTGAGTCAGGTTACTGGAGGCCAAGTTACTCCTCCTCCCTCTCCCGACAGTTAACCCGTCTGCTCGTTTACCGGCTCATCTCATAAAAAAAACTCGGAAAAAGTCACACTGGTACTTGCCGTTGGTAGGTTTTGAACCCGCACTCTCATGTATGAGAAGCGGACGTCTTAAACCTCCGAGCTACCACGACGTCGGAGCTCAGTAGGTAGGTGAAATGATGAATAGACAAATACAATACATATATATTACTACTTAGAAATGTTATAGATGACTTTCTATGAATTCAAATTTCTATGAAATGAAATTAGAATGAGGCCTCATTATAATTTCGTTTCATAGAAATTTAATTAAATTTATTGAACGCAAGCAGGTGTATATGGTTTAATTATAATAAACTAATTAATTAAAATGTTAAAACAATTAATTTTTGGTTATACTAAAAAGGTTATTGACACGGTCCCATATATAAGTTGGTATAATTAAAATTATCGACTCAGTCGGTTAGCAACACAACTCATGACGATTAATCGCTCCCCCAATTCCCATACAGACATCTCTTATTGTACACAAAAAATCGATAACCAAAAGAATTAGCCCCAACAAAACATCACTCTTGCTTGTATTGAAAAATCTTTTCACATAATTTTCAATTCTCACGCCTTCCGTTTATCCAATGAAAGAATTCGCGAGCTCGTTTAATTGAATTTTTTCACTTTGACAGATATTGATCGTCGGCAGTTTCAATACCTTTCTGTTTTATTCCACAAATACTTAGAAGCAGTATAATAAATCACTGGAAGTGAAAGCTGCTTTTTAAGCCTTTGAAAGTCTATAAATCATAAAATAAATGAGGAGCCGCTGAACTATTCATATTTTTTTATAAACTTGGACGAAATTCAGGGATTCTATATTGAAATCAGTGCACTAAGCTGTGTACACATTAGGTTTCGAACTATTTAAGTACTGAAGTGTAATCGTGTTATTATTTGGTTGGTTATGAAATTATTTTTCAAAATTCTTTCAAGACTTCTTTTTTCTGAATCAGTGAACTTGTAACAGAGCCGATTTTTTGACGAGTTTGTTAAAATTCAGCTTTTGTTATTTATTATCTTTGGACATTTTCTAGCGTAGACTAGACATATATTATTATATTAGGTATTTACATAACATCACGCCTTTTATCTCCGAAGCGGTAGGCAGAGGTGCACATTACGGCACTTAATACCACTATACAATGTAACACTCACTTTTTACTATTTATGTTATGTGTCTTATATAGTAGGGGGTGAGCCTATTGCCATATACCGGGCACAATTCCAGACTCCGTGCTAGTACTAAAAACGCAGTACTAGTTTGCCCGACCCGGGAATCGAACCCGAGACCCCTTACCCGGCAGACGCACTTGCGACCACTCAGCCAATGAGGCAGCCAAGTAAGTATTTACTAGACACGAATACGTCGTTTATTACTATGAGATGTGTCCTTTAATCTGATTGGACGGTATCAATATTTATAGCTGATCAATAGTTATTTCCTTGGACTTAATCAAATAGTAATTAGCTTCGATAATAATCACCTTTGTGTAGAGCACTGGCTTCCATTGTTTAGTATTCAATCTAGGAGGCAGGTAAAGTGTGATTAGGGCTTTATGCTTGGCCGAGATAGGAACAGCTGATAAATATCGATAAGCTTGGCTATATAGCTTTGAGACCTAATATTGCCATTGACGAACAAAGGGTACTGAGAATAGAGTATTGTGCTAGTGTAACAGAATTGTGATATCTTGGTACTTACACCGGATAGCTTGGTTAACCGTGCATAACTTAAACTGCTGTTGTTGGCAGGTAGGACATTAACTCTATAAATTCTTTTAAACTTTAAAAATTTAGTAAAATTGAAAATATCTTTCATACCGTGCGTTCGTCGAGCAATCATACGTGTTGTGGTAAAATTTAAAGAGTCATCAAATGAAAAGAATAAAAAAAAATCACTTTATTATTTGTTATTATAAGTTTTCATTGCAATTGTTGTAGTATTTCTTCGAAGGCATACTAGTATTTGGGTATTCAGAGCAAACACTTTAGATGAATTTCTCTCTCAATAATATTAGACAAATTTACGTACTTATTATTTATTCATCGGCAGGACTATTAAGAACATTTTCCTAGAATGGTCCGTAGTACTATGATATTCCATTTTTCTTGTTGTTTGGCTTAAAACTATACCTACGTAGTAGACAAGACAATTTACATAATATGTATGGACCTACTAACAATAATATGTTAATGCACTATTTGTTTTAAAAATGTCTCAAACTATATTATAGTTATCTGTATGTCTCATATGGAAGTGTTGTACCCAAAAGTCGACAGTTCTAATAAGGACGTGAACATAGAATGAAATTTTCTTCAAAAATATTCTAAAACTGCATCGTTAAATCAGTGTACGGGACGCTGTGGTTTCTATTTTATTGTGGCATCATCAAGGATATTGCGTTCTTCTCGTGTTAAGGAACGTGCACACAAGGTTTCAAAAATATGTATTTATAGAATATGTGCATCTTCTATATCTCATTTAATAAATTATAATAACTTTGAATGTAGCTTAAGAATACAGTATTCAGAGTAATAAACCTAAGATATAACAGGTATTAATGTTGTATA